TATATATGATAACTCAAAGGAGGTGATTAAGATGCCAAGATGCTAAGCAAAAAGTTGCAGTTTAGAAACTAAACAGCTGAGCAGAGTCAAACTGCAGTCTCAGAAGCTCAGCTCAGGGGACACAGGCAGAGCTAATGGTGAACCAAAGAGAAAGGTTCTGGAAGAAAACCCAAGGGCTCATTTGGCATCCCTGAGGGACTATGCCCTAAATGTCAATATGAAGCAGAATCAGGAAACACCTCACAAAACATGAGATCCAGATCCAAAAGAACTAAGTCCCTGAGATGAACTATGAGATGAACTTTCTGCATGCTGACTGCCTCTCAGAAGCAAAAGCAAATGCTCAGTAAAAGAAGAAAAATCAATTCAGAGTTCTGATTATTTCTATTTTATTTCGCACAGAAAATAAAGCATATGATTAAAAAAATACATATACGCAAAAGCCTAAATGTGGGGAAAGGAGAAGGATCACAGTTGTGATCCATTTTGTCCATTTACTGGGGAAAACTAGGAAAGAAAAAAATAATGACTCATGCATACCTATACAATTTAGGGTGACAGTGAAATATCATTTCACACCTACCTTACAAGCTACAATTAAAAATACTGCCCATAAAAATCTCTGAAATAACACCTCTCATATAATTCAGCCATTCCACTTCTTGAAGTTTATCCAAGAAAAAAAAAGTAATTACACACTCATGAAAAGACTCATACAAGAATGTGCACAGCATGGCAAATTAGGGAGGGCTTGTACAGAATTACGAGGGGAAAATACAAAAGTACACAAGGAAATCTGGGGAGAGGGATAAATATGCTCATCATCTTAACTGTGGTGATGGTTTCTCTCTCACACACACACACCAAAATACATAGTGTTTATTTTAATTTGTGCAGTTTATTTTAAATCAATTATACCTCAATTAATCTGTTAAAAACTGTGTGGTATATACCAAAATACGTGTCTAAATGAAAATGTAGAGCATTAATGTAAAAGATGAAATCCTGAAAATTTAAGATTTAAAAATATTTTTTATAAAATTAAATAATAAATCAGGAATTTAAAGCAAAATTTTAACCATGAAAAATTAAAGTTAACATCAGGTAATGACACCAAAAATAAACAAAAAATGAGGCAAATCCAAGAGTTGTCTTTTTTTGTGAAAGGATAAAAATGTGAAAAATCCCTGGCAACACTGATCAAAGGAATATAAAAGACGCACATTATCAACAGCAGGAAGGTGGACTGGATCATCATGAGGATACTGAACACATGTGCATCACGTAATGAGCAAATGTGCCAATATATTTAAAATTCATGAAATGATGAAATAAAAAATATCAAAATAGTTAAACTAGGAAATCTCAAGGATTCTTTATTCTGTAAACTGCATCTTTATTGGGAAACTTTCCTATAAACGAATTCTGCCAGGGACCAGCCCCAGCACAAAGATTGTAAGGTCCCCGCTGGTAAGGAACCCCCAAAAGGTAGGAAAGGCAGCGTTGGCGATGGATGGACAGCAAACACACAGACTCAAGGGATCTGCTGAATGCTGACATTTTATTGAAGCATGTGCACACTTTTTATACCTTTTTTTGAAGCAACATAATTATTGAAATAATCATTGAAAAATATCATAATATCTCTTTATGAGTGGCATGTGTTTCAAGAAAAATAGCATTACAATTTGTTCCCAGAAAAGACAATTACAATGTCCCTTCCTTTGAGCAAGAACGTTTCAACCCACTGGTCCCAAATAATCATCAACTGTTGCATTTACTTTAGCTAAATCTATTGAGCTTTGTATGACATTATTAATGCATAATCCAGCCTTGCACCTTAATCAAAGGATGCAAGCAGGAAGTCAAAGTTCCCTTTATCAGTATTTTTCCCTTGCTACAAGCTATTGTAATATAAAATAAAATTATTTTACCTACTAAATCCTATAATGTGTTAAGCCTTATGAAAATACTCTAAAACTTAACTTGAATCTGTATTTCCAAGAAGAAAAGAAAGTTTATGTTTGACTCTTTGAAGCAAGCAGGTTAGGCATAATAGAAATTACGTTGCCTAGCAACTTTTGAGTAAATTTTCAATAAAAACTCCATTATGTTCACTAAAGCATTAAAAACAATCCTTCCAGGAGGCAGACAAGGTAAATGTGTATATGGGTCCATTGTCCCCCTTTGGCCTTAACTGCTACAGACCATTTCCACAGAACTCATGACCATAACTCCCAAGAGGGTCATTAATACAATTAATCACTCTAGTATGAATCTCAATTTTACTCCCAATCCCCCCAGAGCAATAGTTATGAGGCAGTAAAAAATAGAATACAATAAAACAAAGCAGGCACACAGGGCTCTAAAAAATGAGGGTGGAACGGTGGCACCCCTTCCCACGATGAGGCCTTGCAAACACCGTGCCAAGTCAGAGGAAATTTGTTAGACTCTGGCCAGAGGATCCTTGTCAAAATCTGGCTTCTTGGATTTGGTGCACCCCCACAGAATTCCATGCCTTGGAGACTGAACTCATGATTTTTCACTTATAATTGAGAATTAAATAACAGCCAATATTGCACAACCTCTTAGTAGGAGAGAAGCAGCAAAAAAAACTCAAAATATTTAATAGCACCATTTAACATTGACACCAAACTGATAAAGACATCAGTTGAAAAAATCAAAGGTCTGTATTCCTCATAACAAACATCAGAATTTAAGTGGAATTAAAACTATGTTTAACAAACAGAATTCCAAGACACTATAACTACAATGCACCATGAACAAGTTGGATTTAATACAGGAAGCCTTTTCTTGTTGGTTTAACACTTTCAAATCAAACATCTTTGACAAACAAACAAAATCAGGTCACCATGACAGCAGATACAGAAAAGCCATTCGATATGCTTTATCACCTACATATGAGGATTTTTTTTCCTAACCACCCAAAAACCTAGAAAACTACAGCACATATGATGAGTGGTGAAATATAGAAAAACTTCTCCTTCATATCAAAATAGAGACAAGGATGTCTACTACCACCAGTTCTATTTAGTCAGGGAAATCATGCAAGAAAAGAAAAAAAGCATGAAGTTTGGAAACAATGAAATGAGCCCCGCCATTATCCACTGCATAATTATGCCTGCAGAGAATCTAAAAGCAACTTCTAGATAATGCAGTAGAATTAATAAGTGAATTTATCAAGATTGATGAATACCATACAGTTAAACAAAGCACATTTTTCAGAGAATAGGAATTCTGAATACATTTTTCACACACATCATAAAAAAATAGCAAAATAACCACACTGCACAAGATTATATTTTTAAGACTTTTTCGATATGCTTATCAGATAAAATTTGAGTCACCATAACTCTAAAGATTTCTATCATCTTTTCTGATATCATGAAGATAGTGGCCCTAACATATCAAATAAACTTTTATAGAACACTTGACATTTAATCCAAGGGCAACAATGAAAAGATCATTCTTTGTGCAAATATTCCTGCAGTCTTTTGTTTAATGATCTCACTGACTAGTCAGACCTCGGCTTCTTTAAAGTCAATCATAATTACTTTTTCTCTTATTTCTTAAACTTTTTTTTTTCTTACTTCTTTCCTTTCTATTTTCTAGTTCTACATTTCAGATTGACTTCTTAACTCTTTCTGTACCAGATTAAAAGGAAAAAGAAAGCAAATAGTTGTTGTTTAGAAAACCATCACTAGTTACATGCAATCATGTGACTTTTTCTTTGATTTTCTTTTACTATTTATGAATTTGGCTAATGTTCAGCAAAAATTTTCAAAAAAGGCAGAAGCATGTTTCCTCTCAGAAGTAATGATGGTTATCAGTGAAGAGTCTCCAAGAACAGATATTCACATGAGTATGTATTTACATAAAGAATATATTTATACACATGTACACACATACAAAATCACAATTAGATTCTTTTCTTATCAGCAACATATAGTGGAGACATCCTCTGAAAGTATATAAAACCTATGGGATTGTTTACATAGCTACACGACATTCATGGAATGAAAATGATATAGTAAAAAATAACTTTTGTCAATTTTGTAAACATACACTTCTGCCCATTTGTAAGTAGGTGTGTTCCGTAGTCCTAAAAGGCAGTATTTTTTTTATGTAGGTGAAAAAATACTTTGCTAAGACTAAATTAATTTCGAAAACACCAGTACCATTTTATACTCCCTTGATAATCTGTTATCAAGATAAAGAAACATCTTGCAATTTATTTAATCAGTACAAGATAAAGAAACATCTTGTAATTTATTTAGTTTGTACTAATTATTAAGCATATTTTAATAGAGTTAATTAAAATTTATGCTTATTTTCTGTAAATCGTTTGATGTATTTTATTATTACATTTTTAGTTTACAATTCAAAATTATTTTAAACACCAAACATTTTATATATTAAACTTGTGCGTATAGTCTTCTCACTTTCACTTATGTTCTATATTTTTGGCTGTTACTGAATTAACTACTATGTGTGCTATATTTAATCTATTTCAGATACGAAATACGATTTGACAAAGCAAATATTTTGCTATAGGTAATACAAGTGTCATTTCATTATTCTTTATAGAAAGTTTTCATTCCTTCCAAATATTATCTCATGCATGTCAATATCAGCAACACATGAGCAATCATAAACACAACTTTCAGGTTTTTCTAGGGAATGTTCTTAAATTATTTTATTTTGTATATAATTTGTCCATGTTTATATATTTAAATAAAAATTAGATGTTCCTCCATGGGAGCTTTTCTTTTGCTTTTGCTGTGTTTTGTAGTAACTGTCCGTCAAAACATGTTTTATTTTCATTTACATAAATGGAATACTTAGATTGACACCATAGGTATTGGAATTTTTGAATTATTTTTTAAATTTTTGTTAGGCATCTGTATGAAAGATAGAGTATCAGTGAAATGAACAAATGTATACCAAGTGAAAACGTCTGAGAAATAAAGATACACTACCTATCCCAGAGGGACGATTGGAAATACGGCTTCCTTCTAGACAGAATCCATGGAGAACCGGAGAAAACGGAGCAGAATCTTCCCAGTGCTGAAAGAAAAAATAAAACCGTCAGCACAGAATTCTACATGAGGCAACATTATCCTTTCAAACTGAGAGTTAAATAGGACATGTCCACAAAAACAAACCTGAGACAATTTGCGGCGGGACAACCTGTACTTTGCGTTGTTACCTGAAGACCTTCTGGCTGCTGGAAGTGACCGTGAGGGGAACTGAGACTCTCGGGAATCTGTGAAGACCACCCGGCGCGAGGGCCACGACGGCGCCCTCCGCTGGTGGCAGTTGGTAATGGCGGGTGATAGAATTTCAGCACAGGAATTTGTGAAATGTCACAACTGCCCGCATTGTATGGGTGACCAGAGGCACTAAGCTTTCTCCAGAGTCCAGACAAGAGGCCATAAACCCTACTCTTGAAAGAAGGATGTAGCATACAATGGGTGGGCGTATTTTGAAAATGTGTCAAATAAAAATCCAATGAAGGAATTTAAATTGAAGAATAAAAAATTTCAGTTATCCCAAAAGTAGACATGGGAGGTGGAATAGAGAAATAAAAAGTGATGAAAATATATAAATAAAAAAAGAGTGGCAAAATGGCCAAATTTAAATCAAACAATATTAATATAAACATGAATCTTTTAAAAGTCTAAACATTCCAATTAATATGCAGAGTTTTTCAGATTAGGAAGAAGTAAGTCTCAATTATATGCTAAATGAGAGGCAATTACTAGTGGAAGATTTGGGTGTTTTCATGGCAATCAATTATTCCCACTTTTTTGTTAATTTTTTATTTTTATTTCTTCATTTTCTTAAATTTCATTTTATCAATACACAATGCGGTTGTTTTTTGCGTCCCTTTACCGAATCCTCCCTTCTCCCTCCCCCTTCTGCTCCCTCCCATCAACCTCATATCTAGTCACTTATCTTAACAATTTCAAGGAATTGGGAATTTTGGGTCTTCTTCCCTTCACCCCCATTAGATTGTGTATTTATTTATATATTTTTTGCTCCCACAAATAAGTGAGAACATGGGGTATTTCTTTTTCTGTGCCTGACTTGTTTCACTTTATATAATTTTCTCTAATTCCATTCATACTGTTGAGAATGGCAGTATTTCATTCTGTTTTTAAGGCTGAGTAGCATTCCATTGTGTAGATATACCATTTTTTCCATAGCCACTCATCTGATGATGGACATTTCAGCTGGTTCCAACTCTTGGCTATTGTAAATAGTGCTACAATGAACATTGGAGTACAGGTATGCCTTCGACATGATGATTTCCATTCCCCTGGGAATAGTCTCAGCAGTGCGATAACTGGGTCATATGGTAGATCTATCTGCAATTGTTTGAGGAACCTCCATACCATTTTCTGTAGAGGCTCAACCATTTTGCTTTCCCACCAACAATGTATGAGAGTTTCTTTTTCTCCGTCTCCTTGCCAGCATTTATCATTCACAGTCTTTTGGATATTAGCCATCCTAACTGGGGTGAGATGGTATCTCAGTGTGGTTTTGATTTGCATTTCCCAAATGCTGAGTGATGTTGAGCATCTTTTCATGTGTCTATTGGCCACTCATATATCTTCCTATGAGAAATGCCTATTTAGCTCCTTTGCCCATTTTTTAATTGGGTTACTTGATTTTCCTGTAACGTTGTTTGAGGTCCTTGTATATTCTGAATATTAATCCTCTGTCAGATGTATATTTTGCAAATATTTTCTCCCACTCTATTTTTTGGCTTGTCACACTGTTAATTGTTTATTTCACAGAGCAGAAGCTTTTTAGTTTGATATAATCACATTTGTTTATTTTTCCTTTGGTTACCCATCCTTTTGGGGTCATATTCATGAAGTCTGTACCTTGCCCTACTTCCTGGAGTGTTTCCCCTCTGTTTTCTTTAAGAAGTTTTATTGTTTCAATGTGCATATTTAATTCTTCAATCCATTTTGAGTTGATTTTTCTATATGGTATTATGTATGGGTCTAGTTTCATTCTCCTGCATATGGATATCCAGTTATCCCAGCACCATTTGCTGAAGAGGCAGTCTCTTCCCCAGTGTATAGACTCGGTGCCTTTGTCAAAGATCAGATGGCTATAGGTATATGGGTTGATTTCTAGATTCTCTACTCTATTCCATTGATCCATGTCTCTGTTTTCATGCCAGTACCATGCTGTTTTGGTTATTATAGCTTTGTAGTATAGTTTAAAGCCAGGTATGGTTATGACTCCAGCTTTAGTTTTTTTGCTCAGAATAGCTTTGGCTATGCATGGTCTCTTGTTATTCCATATAAATGTAAAGGTAGTTTTTTTTTTTTTTCCATTTCAGAGGAAAATATCATTGGAATTTTGATGTCCTCTATTAAGTATTTTATATCTATTTGATTTATTGTAAAAGCTTCATAGAATTCTTGGTATGGACACAGCATAATTTATCAAAAAATACTTGTTTTGACATTTTTGTGCCCATACTCTAATGCACATGAGTGAGTAGCTATGCCAGATACAGTCTTAGAAGGTGAATTTCTGTGTCAAACGGTAGGTAAATTCATGAACTTTTCAAAAAATGACAAATTACACTCCAAAAGCCCATTAAAATTATGTCCTCTTTTGATCAGCCAGTATCAAAATTTTAAAAGAATATTTTGTTACTTAAATAACTTACACAAGGTATTAAGCATACTTAAGGTAGAAAATGTCCATATATACTTATTATTCATCTCCTATTGGATACATACTATTGATCCCATTTTCTATTGTTTCATAATTTAAGTAATGAAACAAAATTATTATACATTACAGGTAAAAAGATACATATATACAAATATCTACACATGACTTTTTTTTTGTTTTATATATTTCCTTGTACCAAACAGATTTTCGTACATACTATATGCTGTATTATATATATTACTTTGCCTCTACAATACATTGTGTTTATTAAAATTATGATAGATATAAATATTTTGATATAGTTAATGCAGTGTCCTTTCATTATTCTTTAACAGAAGATATTGCCTGTTATACATTATTACATTCATATCAACATTACCACAGGATGGGAAATAATAATTAAAAAGTTCGGCTATTTTATATATGTGATGAAAATATTTTAATTTGTATATGAACAGTACAGATACATGTATATATTTTAATAAGAAAAATATTGGTTCTCTTTTGGTTATGGTAGTTTTCATGCAGCTTATCTCTGTTTTTCTTTACTTTTCTACTGTTGATCAAAAATTAGCCTTTTTTACATAAACGGAATCATGCTTGTTAACAACATAGCTAGCGAAGATTTGAAATAGTTCATTAGCAAACTATATGCTTGGCATCCCTATAAAAATAATCCATTTTAATAAATTGAACAAACGTATATCAGCAAAACTTTAAATAGATACACTACCTACCTGGAAATAACGAGTTAAATGTTGCCTGCTTTGCCCACACAATCCATGGAGATTTGAAAAATAAAACACTATTTTACATATGCTGAAAGATGACACAGAATTTTAAAACCAGAATTCTATATCCAACAAAATTTTCCTTCCGAACTATAAGTGAAGTAAGTCACATGCAGATAAGCAAAACTGAGACAGTTTGTTGTTAGCCAAACCTTAAGTAATGCTACAGGAATGTATTAGCTTCTTAGGGCTGCCATGATATAGTACCACTAACTAGGTGGCTTAAAACTAGATGGCACTAAAAAAAAAAATCCAGGAAGTTTTTTATCTCATACTTCCGGTGGCTAGAAGTCTGAAATCATGTTGTCTACAAGGCCACGCTCTGTTTGAAAACTGCAGGAGAATCCTTCCTTTCTTCTTTTGAGTTTCATGGTGTTTGCCAGGGATCTTTGACATTCTTTGGCTTGCAGCTGAATCACCCCAATCCTCCATGTTCACATGCCATCCCCCCGTATGTATCTTCACATAGACATTCCTCTCTGCATATCTGCATCTGTGTCCAAATTATCCCTTTTTGTAAAGACACCAGTCAAATCGGATTAGGGCTCATCCTAACAACCTTATCTTAACTACATCTTGCAAAGACCCTATTTCCAAGTAAGGTCACATTCTGAGGTAATGGGAGGTGTAGGACACTTTTGGGTGACAGAATTCAACAACTAGCAAGAAAGTTCTTCAGGCTGAAAGTAAATGACACCTGATGGAAACCAAAAAGTACAGGACTACAAGAAGGCGAGAAGAACACTGGATGGGGAAAATAAGCGGATAAATATAAAAGACATCTTTTTAAAATTTATTTAAGAGATATCTGCCTTTTGAAAACAAAAATGATAAATGTTGTTACTGATTTAAACTATACAGCAAGAACTCAAAGGAAAGGGGAAATAAATAGAATTGTAGTGTAGTAAGGATACATACTCAGGACGTGACACAAAAGACATCTTTTTAAAATTTATTTAAGAGATATCTGCCTCTTTAAAACAAAAATGATAAATGTTGTTATCAATCTAAACTATACAGCAAGATCTCAAAGGAAAGGGGAAATAAATAGAATTGTAGTGTAGTAAGGATACATACTCAGGACGTGACACCACCTAATTCTATGACGATGAAGAAAGTAAAGAATTTAATATCAGTCAGTCCCTGAGGAATCACTAAACACACCACAAAAATGTATACATAATATTCTAGTTACTATCATTGGATAACAAATTATCACAAAATTTATTTTCTATAATATAATCTATATACAGATGTCTGTTTTTTCATTAGGCTTTCTAGCTCAACAATGTAACTATACCATCTCATCTGTACTTGGCTCACATTTGAAATTGAAGAAATACTTATGGGAGGAATAAAATAACTACAATGAAAGAAATTAAGCAAATCATTGCCAAAAACAATAAAAAATTAAAAAGATCCACTGCTTCTTTATAAAGATCATTTGGTAAAAAGAAAAAAAGATGTTGATGTCTGCTTTCAGAAGGATGGAATATTTTCCCTATTTCTTCCCCTAAGTGAAACTTAAATCCCTGGACATTATATACAGTGAACA